GGGCAGCTCCCCCCTGGTCACCTGCCTCAACACCTCGCTCTGGCATGCGAACCCCGACTTCTGCGTCGGTGGGTTTCCCCCCTCGCGGGCTCCTGGGATGGGGGTGAGGGGGTCCCTTGCTGAACCCAGACCCCGCTGGTGGGTCAGCACAGCCGGGGGCTTGCTCCCCAGGTTACTGCTTTTAGGGCAGTTGAGAACAAGCCCCCACCCTGCGTGCCTGCCTGGGGCTGCCCTTTCCACTTGGGAATGTTCATCTCTGGGATATGATCTCTGCCCTCCATAATTACTTCACTATCAAGTGATACGGATTAAATGCCATAATATATCTGGATGGAAGCAAAGTACAGAGCAGAAAAAGGTGTGGGAGCCTGTGACTGCTTGGTAATACTCCTGTGCCATCCCCAGGGTGGTCAGTGGGTCCCTCCTCGTCCCCTTCTCCTTCACGTTCTTTCCTTTCCCTATGGACAAAGACCCTCTGCCCTGAGCCCACTGGGGTTGTTATTAGTAAGTGCATAAGCCTTGGCTTTTCTGATTTGTCCGTAGCTTTCTTTGTGCTGTTATTTGTGTTTTAATCTTCACTTCTCAGAAGTTAACGTGGGTCCTGTATCTTTTCTGAAAGTGCTGGTATTTGCTCCTGGGGGAAGTTAGGTGCCTGAGAAAGAGTCACTCAGTCTCTAATGACACTGAATAGAACTGTCACCTGAGTTTCACGTCGTGCTATAAAATAAAGCTAATGCTGATCCTTTGCCTTTCCAGCAAAGTCCTGCACACCACCGGACATCATGAACGGCAACTTTAACTACACAACTGACCTCGTGTTAGGGACGACAATAATCTACACTTGTGACATGGGGTAAGCGCTGGGGAGTCGAAGGAGCCGAGGCTGGAAGACAGAACCCATTGGGGGCTGTTTCCTTGGCAAGCAAAGGCAGAGCGGGAGGTATTCAGAGCAGGGAGCAATGGCAGTCGGGTACGATCCTGCTCTTGCTGTCAAAACTGTGTACCTTCCAGGCATGAGAGTGCAGCCCTTGCAGATTGTTTTTCATCTGCTTTGCAAAGGATTTTTTTCCTTTGCTGTTGGTGCCTGTTAGTAATTCAGCGTTTGCTGCACCAGGGGTCTGGCTGCCCACAACCTAGCTAAGGTGTCTTGGGAAAAGAGGGTTGTGGTGTCCTGGGGATGCCAGATGTGGGACAAAAGGGGAAGAGAGCGGTATGTCAG